AGATTAAGTTTGTAGGGCCGGCCCGGTGGCGCACTGCTACAGTGCGCTGCTTGGGAAGCGCGGCGGCGCTCCCGCCGAGGGTTCGGATCCTACATACAGACCGGTTCCCGCTCACTGGCTGAGCGAGGCGCGGGAGCAACACCGAGGGTTGCGATCCCGTTGCTGGTCCCAGTCCGGTACGGGCGCGACACTGAGGGTTGCGATCCGTTGCCGGACACGGAAAAAGACAAAAAGGAAAAAAAAAAAGATTAAGTTTGTAGGGCCGGCCCGGTGGCGCACTGCTACAGTGCGCTGCTTGGGAAGCGCGGCGGCGCTCCCGCCGAGGGTTCGGATCCTACATACAGACCGGTTCCCGCTCACTGGCTGAGCGAGGCGCGGGAGCAACACCGAGGGTTGCGATCCCGTTGCTGGTCCCAGTCCGGTACGGGCGCGACACTGAGGGTTGCGATCCGTTGCCGGACACGGAAAAAGACAAAAAGGAAAAAAAAAAAGATTAAGTTTGTAGGGCCGGCCCGGTGGCGCACTGCTACAGTGCGCTGCTTGGGAAGCGCGGCGGCGCTCCCGCCGAGGGTTCGGATCCTACATACAGACCGGTTCCCGCTCACTGGCTGAGCGAGGCGCGGGAGCAACACCGAGGGTTGCGATCCCGTTGCTGGTCCCAGTCCGGTACGGGCGCGACACTGAGGGTTGCGATCCGTTGCCGGACACGGAAAAAGACAAAAAGGAAAAAAAAAAAGATTAAGTTTGTAGAGTATATAGCATGATTTCTTAATTCCTTTATCCTTCCAAACCATCCAGTTGTGGAACCCCAAGCTTAGATCAGTTAATACACGTGCCTTTTCTTTGCTTCTGCATCCCAGCTGCTAGGTTTTGCCACTAGAAATTTGTGGTCCATGATCTCAGCTGAAACCTCAGTTCTGCCCAGCAGTTTTTCTATGTGATTTTAGTCAGCTTTCTTTCTGTCCTGTGCAGGGGTCGAAATTGGTGGCCCAGAAGAACTTTGTTTGGACTTGAGATGGTTTTTCAAATGTTGGGACTGGTTGTGAGGATTTAAATATTAGGAGATGTCAAATAAAAGTTAAAATGTTTAGCTTCTCTTGAAAATTGGATATCTGAAAACCTGGAGTACCCAGGGCAGTCATTGGCTTCTCCCTTGAGATGGGTCCTCTTCTCTAGTTTGCCAGTGTCCACCACTCCATGTGACTTATGCTGGCCTCTTAGATTCAGTATGTTTCTTATTTGATCCCTGAGGATGTTTACTTTTGGCCTTGTCCTATAGGCTCTACCTCCTTAAAATTCCTCAAATCTGTCCCCTTCTGTCCATATCCAAGGCCCTCATCTAACCCATCTCCTTATCTCTAGAGTTGTCCCTCTTTAGTCAACTTCACAGTACTGTCAGATTCATCTTTGCAAATCGAATCATATCACTCTCTATTTCCATTCTGTATTTTCCATTCCGTATTGCCTCTCAGCGCGGTGTTAGAGTTCTACATGATTTGGCGAGTACCTTACCAGCCACTTAACCTCTCTGTGCCTCAGTTTTGTCCTGCGGAACATGGGAGAAATAATTTTTTTTTTTTTTTTAAAGATGACTGGTAAGGGGATCTTAACCCTTGACTTGGTGTTGTCAGCACCACGCTCAGCCAGTGAGCTAACCGGCCATCCCTATATGGGATCCGAACCCGGGGCCTTGGTGTTATCAGCACCGCACTCTACCGAGTGAGCCACGGGCCGGCCCGTGAGGATTAAATTTAAAATGCATATAAAGCACTTGATACGGTACTTGACACTTAATAAGTGTTCACTAAATATTAGCTATTAGTATTATTATGATGATACCACGTTTTTTATTTTTCTGTACCCTAACCCTTTGCTATCTTTTTTACACTAAATGTCTTTACCCCTATGCTTTCCTTGATTGATAGTCCTCCTTCAGGACTCAGCAGCTCATGTATTGCCCAGATACTCTCCCTGGCCCTCCATAATGTTGTGGCACCTGTGCATACCTCTAGTCACGCACTTTTTTTTTTTTTTTTTTTTTTTTAAAAATAACCGGTAAGGGGACCTTTTTTTTTTTTTTTTTTTTTTTTTTTTTTTTTTTTTC